GTGCGTTTTATATTGTTCTTATTAGTAGAATTCGTATCATTATTATCTTATCAGTATTTTTGTTAGTTTTTCCCCAATTTTTATTTTTTTTACAGAAACACTGAATGACCAAAAAAGCACCACCACCAGTCCGAAGTTCAGTTAAAACGACTAATATGCATTCATACATGGTTATTAACTTTTAATTCTAATTACTAAAGTTCTATCATTAAATAATATTGATTATCATATTATAATGCTTGACTGACTGATGTTAAGAGTGTATTTTCAGATATTTATAAAACTGTGCCATTTTACAAACAAACATATATTTATATATTTATCAGTCTGGTGAGTAAACTAAAAAATGTACTAGCCAATGGCGATTCAATTGCCAAGGTGTTCGTAGAGGGCTGAGTACTGAAAAAAATAAATAAATTAATCTTTTATATTTGAATATTCATTAAGGAGGCATGGCCAAAAATGTATTCAAACTGGCAGTTGTATCTAAACAAGCCACACGGTGGCAGCAGAGACTAAAGGAAACAGTATAACAGGAAATTTGCAAACTCACACAGGGTAACAAATGGGGATTTGGGATTATTTGTTTTAAGAATAGTAATTTAGAGCTCATTTGTAAATTGATATGAATCCATGCTCTAAAATATACCTGTAATTATTGGCCAAGGTCCAATCAATCAGAATGTTCGTATAAAACATCATTTTATATACGGGTGAGTTGTAACATACAATCATTTAAGGAAAGCATAAGTTCATATCTAATTGTTACATGCTGTAACAACATCCCTCTTTGACATTACACAGTTTAGAAATAGGTAGTAGATTTAGCATACAAATTTGGGAATATTGCATCAAAGTTTGGCATACCGTTTCAGACGTTTAAACAAAACACTGCCAAGTCTCCCTACAGTTTACATTCCTTTCAAACACTTTAAAGTTAAAAAGTAACCAAATATTTTACACTTCATTGATTAAGCTTTATAATTATCGCGTAAACCTTACCCTAAAACAGTCCATATGTACTCGGAAGGACAACATCTTTTTTTTAGAAACAATTACCTGCAATTTGCAGGCCCCAGGTATTTGTTTGTAAAGCAGCGGAAAATCCCGTTTGATGGCCTCGATCATTACAGCGCATCCCTCCAGTTCTCGCGAGAACTTTCGGTTCATGAGCGCCACTGAGTGCAGTGACGGCAAGCTGGAGTTCATATTAAGCGACGGAGGCAACACTGTAGTGAAGCGCCTCACGGCTGGGGCAACATCCACATAATTTCTTCCCCCTTTGCGTTGTTGCCCCTGTCTTTTTTTTGCTCTTTTTAATGAGGGGCAGAATCATCTGTAAGAAATATGATTAGAAGCCGCGTTCCTCTTTAATTTTAAGTGACTATTTGCAGTATTTCCGACCCGGGGGCTGCATCTCTCGAAAGTAGCGGATTTCTGGCTTTCTCTACATTGAATAACATCCTACACAAACACGCCGCGTAAACAAGTTCATAAATGGGTGAGTACAACAGATTTGTGGAAAGTCAGGTTATTTTAAGCCAGCTATTGACCTGAGTGTGCTATTGATGTGTCATATAAAACATTAATGAAACTGAAAATCATTGATAGTGTTTGCATCATGCATCCGTCGCACTATTATAACTACATTTGAAAGAAGATCTGATGATTTCAAGATGTGGACACGTTTGCATGTTTCCCCTCTTCGCTGCTCGGAGATCATGAAGAGTTAAAAGCTGAATTTCATTTCCCTCTGAGGTTTCCTGCTCTCCTCCAGCTGTCCGCTATGTTTCTCTTCACAGATGTGGCTTTTGCTACATTGTTTCATAAGGATGTGGAGGAACGCTCTTTTTAATAGCCTATGTAGGCTATATAATTGTATTATGACCTTACAGTATAACTACTCGTCTGTTTGGATTACCTTAGACATGGTTCTGAATACATATCGACCGATATTGTTTCTTTACAATATATATATATATATTTGAACTCTCTAACTGTTTTCTAGACGATAATAAATACAATTAGACTACAAAATTAATAAATAGTTTTAATGATCCATAAATAATAATATACTCAGATATTGGCAGGGTGATTGTTCAGTTGATATTTTTACATTGTCAGTACCAGCATTAACTGTACTTGATTGGCTGTTAATAAGTCTTAATTCACATTTTCTATTTTCAGATATTTTAGAGAATAAATATTATATTTACTATATACTATAATAATATAGTAAATATTTATGTAAATTAAGCATTCATTGAAATTCAGTGAAATTTTCCCAAAATGGAACAAAAATGTTTTTGAGATTCAATTGTCTAAATTCTAAAGTTAAAATGCTGTGTTTCGTAACATTAAAGATGGCAAGAAATAAAAATGTACCCTATCTATTTTCTTAATGCAAGTTATTGTGAAAATTCAACCAAGCATGTTTTATTTTTTATAATTTTTTGACATGATTTGAATCGAAATGTCATAATTTGATCTTCTGGTACTTTCTTTTCTTTTTCGATAATCCGTTTCACTCAGATGTAGGTCACAAACAATACGGAAGAAAAGGTTGGTCGCTACTTCCGTTTCATAATGACCTTTAAGTAGAAAAGCATGAATAATATTGGTCAAACCTATTTTCTGTCAATTTAGTTCAAAAGGCCACAAATGCTTCTCGCATGAGGTTGTATCGGTTACCATCATACTATGTGTTGTTCTTTAAAAAGAGTTGAATTAGTTTGGACGTTTGTTTTTTAAACAGACGGCCTCCGCTGACGCCCACAAGCTTATCACGGTCAATAACTGGGCAGCTGCAGCCAAAGCTGTTTTTAGCATTTCAGTCCAAAAAATAGTTGCTGGTGTGGTTTTCTTACGTTGCACTGATGATAAAACAGGATGACAGACATTTTTGAAGAATGCCACACTATTGTGGAAGAGATAGTCAGAACTGCAGTCTCATCACTGTAATCTCAAATGTATTGTCATACTAAGCAGATCAGAGCCTATCATTGACGTTGGATTACAACCATTTATGATTTACATAAAGAAACTAAAAACAACTTCTTATTGACTGAAGCACTAACAGATGTACAATCCTCTTATGATCCATTCTGTTCTATGCGCTTTCCCGTGATGAGCTCATCAAAAGGGGAGCGTCTTTGACAAAACACCAGTGTGAGACAGCCGCACACGTGTCTCTGATCTTTTGGCAAGATTCAACAAAGCCTTTAGATCAACAGACATACGTGTTGAAAATTTAAACAGGTTTTGAGCACATTGCACGGCACATTTGGTTACATTCCTTAGTGAGTAAAGCCATGCGTGTACAAACCCTCCAGATTGATTGTTAGAAAAAGGTTTGTTCGTTTCTGCATAAATATAAACTATAACGGTTATTAATGACTGAGGGCCAGCTGTGTGTACAAACTGTTTCAAAACATAAATCAATGACACAAACAGGACTGCAGGAATGATATGATCTAAAATCAATCTGACAAATGATCCATGCTCTGCTCTAAATTAAAAAGTGAGGAAAAATAGTTTCACTGTTGAAAAAAATGTGCAAACAACTTAAGATTATCCGCCCCTAAAAACTGCATGTTAGTACCTTAAAGAGATACCCAAAAATAAAAATTATCTTCTTATTTGCTCACTTTCATGTCGTTCCAGACCTGTAGAACTTTCTTTCTTCTGTCGAATTATGTGAAAGATACTTTGAAGAATATTTCAATCTTTTTAGTCTATATAGTGGAAGTCAGTGAGGTTCAAAACAACACTGGAGCCCATTAACTTTTATTGTAGAGACAAAAATACAATGAGACATATTGTGTGTGTGTGTGTGTGTGTGTGTGTGTGTGTGTTCTGCAGAAGAAAGAAAGTTATACAGGTTTGGAACAACATGAGGGGGAATAAATGCCTGTTCACACCAAGAACAATAACTATAACTAAAGATAAAGTTCTACAAATCTTTCTAAATTGAAGAGAGTAGCAGGGTTCACACCATAACTTTAATGATTACACCACAGAGGAACAATATCATTGGAATCACTTTCAGAATGATTTTTTTTCCAGCTGATGAACTATAAAAACATTGACAGCCAATCAGAATCCATCCTGCTTTTAAAGAGCTGCAAGCATAGAGGCAGACGACAAAACTGCAGTGCAAGCTTATAACAAACAGAATGTTATTGTGCATTGGTGTAGATGCTAATATAGTTACTTTTATAGTTATCATTCTTGGTGTGAACAGGCCTTTAATGATGAACTATCCCTTTAAGGTAATAATATGCACCCTTTAAGGGGAAAAGGTACTAAGGTTCGCAACATTAATATGATAAACAATTTGCAACATCTTCATTAATATTTAAAATCAGCGATTTCATGTGACGCCCCCAAAGACATGCATGTATGAAATATTTGTTGACTTATTTAGTGATTTAATGAGCATTATTAACAGGCCAAGCCTCAAAAGGATTAATTTTCAGACTACATCAGTATTTTCAGTATACATGACCCACTCGTGATTTTGGGTTCAGCATTGAACAACCCGACTGACAGCATTCTTTTGGCTCTTATTTTTGAATTAAACATGCTATCAGTAAATGAATTCATAGTGATCAAGGGCTCCTTGTGAGTCCTCATATCGCATGCAAGTTAATGAAGCCCTGGCTTCCTCTTTTACTGTTTTCGCCCAAGCTCAAGCTTTGCTTTTCCTCACAAGTGATGTGGTGAGCTTTGGATTCTGGAAAGTATTGCACTGTACTCCAGTCTCTTTACTATCATGACTGCTATGTCATGCTCATTCATTGCCCTTTGGCAGAGAACAGGGAAGTGGTGAGAGAGGCATGTTTCTGTGTGTGATGGGTTCCTGTTATATAGTGGAGCATTTACACATCTACCTATGTTCCTCCATATTGTGATAGTAGCTCTTTTATTGCCAGTGGGAACAGTGTAGGGGAACCAGTAGTAGTTGTACTTACCACAAGATTTGGAAGATCTACACAACTTATTTTGTTTATGGTTATTAAATATTTTGGCTAATTTGATTAATCTTTCAGCTTCCAATAAGAGTACTTTCTGCTCCGTTTAGGCCTAACACATCTTGCCATCGTTTAAATCCTTTACTGCTGATTTACAGCACAGAACTTTTCTGCAAATGCCTTCTGGGCATCCCTATGTTGGATAATAGTATTCATAGATCTTTATAAAATATTCCAGAAGAGAGCTATTTTGGATGGAATCAATGTAAAAATTTTCTGTGCATAGCACCGTAGGGAAATGCACAATATGTAATAATAAAAACCATAAGGTTTTGTATCAGAAGGAAATATAATAAAGTTTTCCTTGTAAAGAAAAAGAAAGTTATGTTTTGGAGCATGAGTAATCGTTGATTTCTTAAGTCTGCAGGAGATTGCTCCATTCAAGAGTCACTTCATGTGATAGTAGAGAAGTTCCACCACAGCTAGGTAGTGTTGTACGAAATTCAGCAATAGCTCCAGATTTATTCCTAACATACAGTCGAAAAACATCTGCTGAAACAGCTTTTGTAGATTAATCATTTAAGTTTTGTTACACTCGCTGAACATTTCGCTTTTAAATCATGCATTTATGCTGTGATGAAACTTTGCGAGAAATCTGAACTCTGCAGTTTGTTCTCGTATATCTGCAGTAATACATACAAACAACCGAGCTTTGTACCTTCATGATTTATTAACGTGTCTGAATTTGGAGCAGTCAGGAATTGAGCGCAAGAGTGTCTGTCCTACATACTACTAGGGATGCACCGAAAATTAAAATTCTTGGCCGAAACCGAACAAAATGAAATACTGGGCCGAAGGCCGAATACCAAACAAGGTTTTTCGAGGTTTTTTTTCCCCCATGTATTTTGCCAATTTTTTTCACCACTGCACAAATTAAATAGCCAAAATGTGCTTTTTACTGTTTTGTCTTGCTTTTCAAAGAAAAAATCTATTACAAAACAACAATTTAAAAGTATTTAACACTGATCATTTTTTAACATTCTAGCAGGCATTATAGTTATACCAACAAAGCACAATTTAACCTCAAAATTAATAAGTTAGTAAAATAATATTTTTTTGGCCATCAGACCCCCGTCTTGAATCAGGCATGTATTTTTAACTGTACAATTAAAAACAGCCTTGCTGAGCAAAAGAATCTTCTTTTAAAACATTAGAAAATATTACAGATCCCAATTTGAACACTATGTGTGAATGTTATAATAAATGTATTAACAGAGCTGTTGAAATTATTATCATTATTATTGTCTTACTTTTTATTTTATTTTACAGAACAACAGTAAAATTACAATACTAACATTTATGATTGTTTATGGAGTTATTGCTTTTTCTCAACTTTTATTTTGGCGGAAACGCGCAGGAAGACAATAGCAGATTTATAAATGAGTCTCATTACGAATAAGTCGCACGTATCGCATTGTCACGTGCCTTGTAAAAAAAAAAATCATAAAAATGTGACTGAGCAACTGAG